GCACCCCCCACCCAGACCAACCCCCCCATCCCCCCACCAAGACCAAAATTTTATTGCAGATTCGGGGTCCTCTCGCCAAGTGCACAACGACACCGGTTTACCCGGGCGGCCCCCCCGGGCCCAACCGGCTGGGCCCAGCCCGGCAGGGCAGGCCCGGCCAGGCGGCGTCCTCACTCAGATAAGCACAACATTGACAATAAATTTTACTTCTTCGAAAGTTCTTCCACCATACACGGGTAGCATTATCATTTACAAGTTGGCAAACATCTTGAGAGAGAGAGAGAGAGAGAGAGAGATAACTCAAACTTAACAACGTAGGAGAGGTTTAATCGCGAAGCGTAGCCACATTGCCATAAGCATGACACACTCATGCCACAAGGTGGTTACAGACCTCTACGCCACAATGGGGAAGAGCATGAGCGATCAGACAGCATTGGATGCATTTTTTGACTTAAAAAAAAAGGGGGGGGCCGGGGGGGTAACTAGGGCGCAGTCACGTTTTTTTTTTTGTTTTAAATGCAGTTCAGGCATCCCCCGAATACAACACATCCCCACCCAACTCTCAAGCTGGGTTGTATACATTCACGATTTTCCTCGCTTTGGAGCAACATTCGCGAAACCATGACTGCGACCTAGTTTCCTCAAAAAAAAAAAAAAAAAACAGACATGCAAATGGAAATGGAACCAGGTAATCGTTCCCCAAAAATAAAGCGAGCCGAGGTCATAAAGTCTGCATTGCTTATTGTAAATTCCGTTTTTTAATTGGCCCATTCCACAATTTGTGTGCGTCATCTTTGCGCAGGGGCCATGATAATTTCTCTATTTTAACAGATACGCAAGGGACAGTTTCCATTTCCTTCCTTTAAAAACAACAAGTGGACCCAGCGCAGTGAAGCCGCGCCCCAGTCCTGCCTATACACGGCAGGAGCGTGGCAATGTCGGTCTGTGTGTGTGTCTGTGCAGGATGAGGAAAACCGGAATGAATCTTCAGCCAGAACGCGGAAATATACACTGCCACACTTTTTTTTTCTTCTGTTTTTCTTTTTTTCATGTGTCCATCAACTGAGCAGCCTGCCAATGTCCAAAATGAGAAGGAATCTTCCGCACGAGCATAGGAAGATACACCGCGACGCACAGATACATTGAAAAGAAATCCCAGTGTGAGTATGGACTAAGGAGCTGTCAGATGCAAATGTCGCCGCAAGATAGTGACACAGAGAGAGTGAGGGAGAGAGAGAAAGAGAGAGAGTTTTCCATCCATAGGATGAGAAAAATGGGAAAGAATCTGTCACTAGAACATGGAAATATACACTGCCCTTGGCAGTGTATATTTCCATGTTGTGGCAGTGAATACTTCCATGTTCTATGGGAAGATTCAATCCCATTTTGCTCATTTGGTGAAGCGTGGCAATGTCTGTGTGTGTGTGTGTGTGTGTGTGTGTGTGTGTGTGTGTGTGTGTGTGTGTGTGTGTGTGTG